GGGAGCGTGCAGCCATTACCGCAATGCTCGATACCTTAAGGAAGTGCTGTGTAAAGATCATGGATGAAATTAGAAAGAGTACGAGCACAGAACCTTGTGGAACACCACTCTTGGTAGAGGAAGAGGTTGCAATATCTTCAACCGTGGAAAAGGAACCAAGGGTTTTCTCCCCCCCCCCCTTGACACTCACCGTCCTCCCACAGCCGGAGCTGGGCCATCTCCTGGTCGTCGGAGCCGTACACGTTCGAGGCGTCGAGGAACGAGGTCACCTGCCGATGGATTAGAACAGCAGTGTTTACCCTTCTTCACATACCGCGTGAGGTGTGTGTACGTCACTATTGTCAACACTTGTTTACATGTATCCAGGCGCTCATAAGTCTTGGCTTAGAGGAAGCTCTTACTGGTCTTCAAAACTCCTAACTCCTGGTCGACGGTGGGGCCACTCACCTGGTTGATCTGGTCGCGGGGTCCCAAGGCACAGTTGGGGCGGGGAGCTGGTGAGGACCGGACGAACTCCATACACGTGTGGTTCCACTGGGAGTAGAATGGGTCACTAGCCGGGATGATGATAGGCAGACAGTCGGGATGCTGCGGGCACGGAACACAATGTAACACAAGTAACACTCGGGTAACACCTACGTAACACTCGGGTAACACCTACGTAACACCAGCTGACACATGTCAGAGCAACATCAATTAAGTAAATCAAGTGTGTGCAGTCCCCATGGCGCAGTGGTAACACCCTCACCCCCTGCTTTTGCGCGCGATTTGGCCTGTGTTCGAATCCTGGCCGAGGAGGATTGACCAGGCGCCATGTATTAGCTGTACGCCTGTGTTCACCTAGCAGTGAATGGATACCTGGTTGTTGAAAGATTTGGCGGGCTCGTATTCCGGGGGAAATTACGATTAAGGACTTGCTCGAAACGTTATGCGTGCTGGTGGCTGTACAAGAATGTAAGAACTCTCGTATAAATAAAATAATACAATAAAATAAAAATATTAAGTTTTCCCACATTACGCTCGATACGCTCTGCGTATTAGTGGGTTTAGTTTGCGTATTATGTATCCCACGTATGTATGTACTTTTGCCTACTTAAATTACTATTATTATTATTATTTCATTCACCTGGGCTCTAGGAATGTGGTGAATAAAACATTTATTTCCACGGAAGTGTGGATGACAATTTATTATTATTATTATTAAGGTAAGAAATATAGCTCGTAATAACACAAGGTACTTAGTACCCAGGTAACACAAGGATCCAAGAGAGTACAACTCAGTAACGCCACATAACACTCGGTAGCACTCGGGTAACAGTAACATTAGGTAACAACACTCAACTAAAAGATAAGTCATTAGCACATGTTTGTAAAATTCTTTAGTTTACGTTCGCTTGAACGCTCGAACGACCATTTTCTGTGATGAAATAAATGTCAGGGATGACTAAGTTAATATAATGTAGGACTTTGACGTGGAACAAGAACTGTTGATATACTTAATGATGGATATTTTCAAAGGCCTACTCATCAGAATCAGCGTCCTATAGATGCTTCTAACTTTTGTATTACACACACAATACAAACGATCACACCCTAAGAGCTACAAGCAATACAACTACCACCCCCTAAGAGCTACAACCATTACAACTACCACCCCTAAGAACTACAAGCAATACAGCTACCACAGGTTATAAATCTCACCCTGAAGACCTCGGGCAGAGGCGAGCCGTCGTGTTCATCACAACACTTGGGGACACTGTGGTTGAAGCCGCGAGTCTGAGCCGTCGCTGCCAACACAAGGGAGGACTGTTGTCAGTACCAAAGTGGGAGGTGGTGTTAGAACACGGTACCGGACAACTTTAAGGTGCGTAGTGTTGTCAAGTACAAGAGTGGGAAAAGGGGGCTGGTATTAGTACAAGATACACAATGTTCATCAGTTTATAGCGAGGACCTAAACAACCGCCCCTTCAGTCACCCCACTCACAGGTGAGGTCGTGGTCGAGGAACTGCCCCCACTGCATCACCATCATCGTGATCTTGTAGGAAGGTCGGTTGAGAGCGCGGTGGACGGTGTCGCTCACCCGTCGAGGGTTGGGGAGGGCGCCTCCCATCACACTCTCCCGGAGCTGCTCTATCCCGTCGCTGGCCGGAGGACGTCCCAGGGGGCAGAGGGAAGACGCCAGAGGGAAGAGGGAAGACGCCAGGAGGAGGAGGAGGAGGTAAGACGCCAAGGGGCAGAGGAAAGACGCCAGGAGGAGGAAGAGGGAAGACGCCAGGAGGAGGAAGAAGGGGAGACGCCAGGGATTGCATTTATTAATGTGTATTAATCAGTACAAGCATTATACATTTATAATAGATTTAAATATAAATTGATATTGGAATAGTCTATCAGTTTTACTTATAGCATAAGAAATATACTTATAAGACATATATTAAAAATATAGCTTAAAAATGAAAGGCATTTAGTTAAAATGTAAACATCAGGTTATACCAACACACACAAGAACAACATTAATAAAGAAGAGATGTGTTTACAAACATCTGGCGCGTCTCGCCACTAAACATAACTACAACAGTTATAACAACAGATAACATTGTAAACTATATATTAGTGTGAGAAGTGAAACATTCTGGCCTAAAAATACTGTTGCTTAACATTTGGACGATACAATGAGTTTACAGTAACCTAAGAGGTACAGAGAACGTATAGCATGAACAATATAGCTAAGATAAATATGAGTTGTAAAGCGTGAGCGACGTGAGGGGCTCACACTGTAGCCCTCACCACAAGCGTGAGGAGGGGGGGGACGCTCCTACCACAAGCGGGAGGGGGCGTCTCCCACCACACGCGTGAGGGGGCGTCCCGCATCACAAGCGTGAGGGGGGGCGCCCCTACCACACGCGGGAGGGGGCGCCCCCCACCACACTCACTCTGAACACACCTGTAACAGGTGGCTGACTATGAGAGGATGGCACCCGTGTAATCTGTGGGGGAGGAGCTGCGACTACTGTAATATATGGGGAAGGAGCTGCGACTACTGTAATATATGGAGGAGGAGCTGCGACTACTGTAATCTATGGGGAAAGGAGCTGCGACAAGAGCGCGCGACTCACCTGTAGTCAGGAGGGAGGAAGCGAGCAAAGGGCCGGAAGGCTGCGCCCCACTCGGCGTTGTCAACGTTGTTGCAGGTGCCGTCAAGCGTGCGGAACATGGCCGAGTAGGCCGGACACGGCTGGGTGCTCGTCTCCTCAGACTTGACGGGGCAGTTGTCGTAAAGAGCCGTGTTTCTCAGGGACACCTGCTCCAGCCCGAAGAGCGCTTGCTGCCGCGTCAGAAGGAACCTGGGCGAGAGGGTATAGTAGAGAGAGAGAGAGAGAGAGAGAGAGAGGTATCTTATCCTTCTTGTACTGCATCTCTATTTCCTTACATTTCATTTGTTATTTATCTTTGTTATTCTTGGCCCCTCCCCTTACACACACAAACACACACACACTCACTGGTTGGAGAGGAGCTCGGAGGCCTTGAGGGAGGCGTAGCCGTAGGAAGCAAGGTCTTTGCTCTTCTTCTTCTGTTTGTTGAAGGCTGCGAGGAAGAGGCCAGGGTCGCCCCGCTGAAGATGGTAACCTGACGGAGTGGGCGGGGAAGTCAGGTCAGTATCACTAGGAGCTGCTGCTGCTCTCTCGCCTTCACACAAGTATATATATATATATATATATATATATATATATATATATATATATATATATATATATATATATATATATATATATATATATATATATATATATATATAATATTAATATCAAAGTGTCTTGTATATTCGGGGCCATGTGGGACCTCGGATGCTCTTTCATCGGTTCCTGTTATATGGGAAAACTCAGTGCCAAATGCTTAATGCACAGACTACCCTATTCCAGTAGCTGAAGTTTATAACTTTTTTTAGACACTCAACCCACCAGGGGACTCGAACACTGGCCAACAAGGTGGCAGTTGCATGCTGTATCCACTACGCTATACTTCAAAGCCATAAAGAGAGGTAGGAATTCTGGGGTATTTAACCAACCAGAATTCCAATCCTCTCCCAGGCGATGAGATAGTGTGGGACCTCGGATGCTCTTTCATCGGTTCCTGTTATATGGGAAAACTCAGTGCCAAATGCTTAATGCACAGACTACCCTATTCCAGTAGCTGAAGTTTATAACTTTTTTTAGACACTCAACCCACCAGGGGACTCGAACACTGGCCAACAAGGTGGCAGTTGCATGCTGTATCCACTACGCTATACTTCAAAGCCATAAAGAGAGGTAGGAATTCTGGGGTATTTAACCAACCAGAATTCCAATCCTCTCCCAGGCGATGAGATAGTGTGGGACCTCGGATGCTCTTTCATCGGTTCCTGTTATATGGGAAAACTCAGTGCCAAATGCTTAATGCACAGACTACCCTATTCCAGTAGCTGAAGTTTATAACTTTTTTTAGACACTCAACCCACCAGGGGACTCGAACACTGGCCAACAAGGTGGCAGTTGCATGCTGTATCCACTACGCTATACTTCAAAGCCATAAAGAGAGGTAGGAATTCTGGGGTATTTAACCAACCAGAATTCCAATCCTCTCCCAGGCGATGAGATAGTGTGGGACCTCGGATGCTCTTTCATCGGTTCCTGTTATATGGGAAAACTCAGTGCCAAATGCTTAATGCACAGACTACCCTATTCCAGTAGCTGAAGTTTATAACTTTTTTTAGACACTCAACCCACCAGGGGACTCGAACACTGGCCAACAAGGTGGCAGTTGCATGCTGTATCCACTACGCTATACTTCAAAGCGACGCTTGGGGCTAGCCTCCGCAAACTGTGCAGGGTGACCGGTCTTTGTACTGAAGAGTGTGAAGACACCTACACTAGACCAAAAGCTGAGAGGCAGGAGAGCTAGGATACCAAACGTTGTCTAGAACTAGGATACCAAACTTGAAAACATTTACCAGCAAAAACAATGATACCAAAACATTTCACCGAAATGCCGAAACAGGTTAAGTTATTGTGAGGGGGGGGGGGTGGAGGGGGGACCACTAACCTTCCTTGAAGAGCCGTGGTTCCTTGACCTTAGTGAGGTAGTGAGTGAGGTTGATGCCGTAATTTGCGACGTGCTGGAGGATGGTTGAGCCCACGTCACTCGTCTCGCTAAACTGTATGGGCACGGGTGCCTGCCGGCCCTCCCTTACCCACGACAGTGAGTACGGCTCCGGCCGCTGGCGGGGTCCGGCAGGCAGGGTGAGGTCGGGCGCAGCGAGTTCGGGCGCGGCTGCGGTGTTACTAATGGAGGAAGCCTCGCCTCTCGCCCCCAACACCACCACCATCGTCACCAACACCACCATCGTCCCCAACACCATCGGCCACCTACGACGCCTAGAGAAGTCAATAACAGGATTGCATCACGACAACAGATCCAGTCATTATGCATTGCTAAAAATTTTAACTGATATTTACAATGTGTATACGTAGAATATACATAATGTGTTTTTAATATCCACGAGCCTAAAAAAATCTTTGCCCACAGGACTAAATACGTCCCTCATTTGGGCAAACGTGTGTTGGGTGTGTTGTACACGCTAGTGAGGCTATGGTATCACTTCCTTCAGTGACGCAACACTTCCTTCAGTGAGAGTTGAACCGGGATCGCCAGCCCAGTACATTCTTGAATAACTGACCAGTTTCAACGCTCGCCATCTCGTTTAAGTTTATTTTAAAAGATTATGAACAGTGAAATGATGTATGATTCCTTCCCTTAGGATTCTCTTCGTCAGCCTGCAGATATTTGAGGGTCTCGGTAGCACAGTAGGGTTCCTTCTCGACGCACAATCGAGAATCCCGGGTTTGAATCTCGGGCGGGACAGAAATGATTGGGCTCCATTTCCTTTCATCTAATGCGTTTGTTCACCTAGGAGTATGTAGGTACTCAGGAGTTAGTCAGCTTATTGTGGGGTTGTATCCTGGGCGGGGTCAGTAATTCGACCTTAGGAGGGAGGAGAGGGATCCTCGATATAAACTTAGCGTGTATGAATACACACTGGCTTCCTGTCCCCCCGACACAATGAATTATTATTATTATATGTCCCCTTAATTCATTTTTTTTCACCTGCTTCAAACATTTGTGTGGGGATCGGGATGCTGTCTAGTCTTTCTAGTGTGAACACTGATGTAAAGTATTTATAAAGACGCTTGACTGCCGTCTTCTCGACTATTATAACTTGGTCTCGACTTACAAGGGAACTACCGTCCGTTGTCTTGGTTTGTTTACTTGGGAATTAGGAGACTTGGGATCTTTTGTTTTTATCTTTTGAGCAAGTTTTCTGTCATAGTTTCTATTGGCTGGGTTGATTTCCGGATACCTGAGTTTTGTGCCCTTTTGTGTATATCTCATAATAATGTGATTCCTGATAAATGTAACATAGCCATATTGGATGCGGAACCTGTACATCACTTGACTGAGGATTGAGAGCCGGAATAAAAAAGGTGAAGATTAATCACGACAGCATAATGAGGCAAATAGAAAGACAGACAAACACACATACACAAACCTAAAGAAGCAGGTTCTAACTCGCTCCAGGTAAGTATTGACTCTCCGAGGCCCTCCACGCCCCAGCGGCGAGGCCTCCTCCAGTGTTAGTGCTGGAGGAGGAGGCTGGAGCCATATTCACAAAAACACTTACGAACCTGTACATCTTTTCTCAATCTTTGGCGGCTTTGTTTCCAATTATTAAACAGTTAATAAGCTCCGAAGCACCAGGTGGTTGTTTATAGTAATAACAAAAATTGATTGGGAAGTTTTCATGCTTGCAAACTGTTTAATAATTGGAAACAAAGCCGCCAAAGATTGAGAAAAGATGTACAGGTTCGTAAGTGCTTTCGTGAAAGTAGGCGTCCGTCAATCCCCTGGGGTTAAGGTGGTGTGACCTGGGTGTCTAATAGGTTGTAGGTGTGGGGGTTATGGAGTTGTGCAGCGCCTGCTGTGGCTGTGAAGTCCAACCCAAGAATGACAGTCTCGACTGCAGCGAGCGCAGATAAACGCCGAAGCGGGTGCGTCTGACAGTGGTCGAGACCTCCTCTGAAGTCTATTATCCTCCTCCTGCCTCTTCAGTTCGTCCTCGAATTGCTGGAGTCCCTTCTGCACTTTGCATCTCCAGGCAGATCTGTCCGCAGCTGCTGTCTCCCAAGTGTTGATGTCGATGTTCATCTGCTTGAGGTCGCGTTTGCAGGCGTCTTTGAAACGCAGCTGGGGTCTTCCGGTGGGTCTCCTTCCTGATGCCAGTTCTCCATACAAGAGGTCCTTCGGTATGCGGCCGTCTTCCATGCGTGTGACATGTCCCAGCCATCGCATGCGTCTCTGCTTCAGGAGAGTGAACATTGAAGGGACTCTTGTTCTCTCGAGTACTATTGTTGTTGGTGACGTGGTCTCTCCACGTGATGTCAAGGATGCGTCTCAGGTTCCGCATGTGAAAGGTATTGAGCCGTCTCTCCTGGCGAGAGCGCAGGGTCCAGGATTCCGAGCCGTAGAGAAGTGTACTCACCACACATGCCATGTAGACCTGCACCTTGGTGTGTACTGTCAGTTTGAAATTTTCCCAAACGCGCTTTGTGAGCCTGGCCAGTGTTGTTGCGGCCTTCCCGATACGCCTGTTGAGCTCAGTGTCCAGGGAAAGAGTGTCTGAGATTGTGGAGCCCAGGTACACAAACTCGTGGACCGCCTCCAGCACATAGTCTGCGATGTTTATACAGGGTAGCTCATTGACATCTTGTCCCATCACCTGTGTCTTCTTCAGGCTGATTGTCAGGCCGAATGCGGAACAGGCTGCGGCAAAGCGGTTGAGTAGCTGCTGCAGGCCTTCTGCTGTGTGCGTGGTGATGGCTGCGTCGTCGGCGAAGAGGAAGTTCCTGAGGATTCTCATCTGTACTTTCGTCTTTGCTCGGAGTCTGGATAGATTGAAGAGCTTTCCACCAGATCTTGTGCGGAGATAGACGCCCTCTGTGGTTGTTCAAAAGACATGCTTGAGATGTACAAAGTATTTCTCTGCTCCCTGCACTTTTCTTGAAGCTGTCTCAGGGAGACATTCGACCATGTCAGTGGTCGACCTCTCTGCTCGGAAACCACATTGACTCAGGGTATAACAATAATAGAAATAACAACAATTATAACATGAAATTGATAGAAAACGTAATACAAATAATCATTATTATTATAGTGATTTGTAAACAAATGTAATGATGAGATACACGGACATTCCGCCTGTAGGGAATAGTCAACAAGCGATAGTTGACAAGTCCGGGACTATTATTTAAGGGCTAAAGTCAACATACTGGTTGTTCAGGAAGATAGTCTGTCACGGCTTTAATAACTTCCCCAGAGGTTGCTTAAAGTCTAGGACACAGAGGTTGAATAAGACTAGGATAGAGTTAAGAAGCAATACGTCCACTACGGCCACACACTCGGGGCTCGAGACCACGCCCACAGTTCTGCTATTAAAATAAAGACAATCTTGCTTTTTGTTGTAAACACGAGAAACTTGGCGGCGGCGGCTGATTCGCCTTGTGTGTTCTGTAGAGAGAGTTGTGACTTGTCTCGTCCTTGAAGGCACAGACGTTAGTCTATATCACCGTCTGATCTGCTTGTTGTCAGAACACCCGGATGAGAAAGGTGGTGGCGGGGTGAGAGACATTGGGGTATACGAGAGGTGGGAGGGGAAAGGTGGAGTGGAAGCAACATAGCGGAGATACACACACACACACACACACACACACACACACACACACACACACACACACACACACACACACACACACACACACACACACACACACACAGTCACAGCTTCACTTGTCAATAACTATTATCAGTGAGGTGAGAGCGGCCTCTCAATCATCAGCTTTCTGATAGCTTTTCTCCTCCTCTGGCTCAGGTCACTGACATATCTACGCTCTTCCTGTATGCATACATACACAAATAAGCCCACCCATGCAATCATACGTCCATACATGTATACACATGTATGGCGTATGAATATGCGTTCATACAAACATACATGTGTATCTGTACAGTAGAATTCCTGTCCCAAGCAGAAGGCCGGACGCTTGGGCCTAGCCTCACTCAACATTCACACATGAAGCATGGAGGGGGTGGGGTGGGGGGGAGTGTCATAGATCAATCAGGGTCGGCCCAAGTGCCATGCTTTAAAAAATATCGGCAAATAAGCGCTCCCCCTTCCTTTTTGTGTTTTATGAAATTTAAAATCAAACAGAGGGCATACGGGGAGGCCAGGGACGACCTGGGGCCAGATTCACGAAAGCACTTACGCAAGCACTTACGAACGTGTACATCTTTCCTCAGTCTTTGACGGCTTTGGTTACATTTATTAAACAGTTTACAAGCATGAAAACTTCCCAATCAACTGTTGTTATTGTTATAAACAGCCTCCTGGTGCTTCGGAGCTCATTAACTGTTTAATAATTGGAAACAAAGCCGCCAAAGATTGAGAAAAGATGTACAGGTTCGTAAGTGCTTGCGTAACGGCTTCGTGAATCTGGCCCCTGTACGGGACAGCAAGGGGCAGGAGAACTCTGTAAACGTCCAAAAAAGACATTCCAAGCTTCCTGACCAGCAAATTCAAGCGGCTGAAGAAAGATTTACAACACCACTGAGCGGAGGGGGGGGGGGGGGGAAATGAATCAAGATAAGCAGCATTAGCGCGCGGCGCAAGGAGCAGCGCCGGAGGCAGAGAGAAGCAACAAGTCACGCAAGAGCTCCAGGGAGCGCTGCACCTCACACCGAATACAAAAGGACGTAGAACGAATAAACAGGAATTAGGCTCCAAGGGAAAAAGAAAGCGCAAGAATGACAATGCGCAAACACACACACACACAACCGGTGTCACCTGCTACACACACACACACACACACACACACACACACACACACACACACACACACACACACACACACACACACACACACACACACACCTGTCGCCCAGTAATGAAGATCAATCTGAACACTTAGAAAATAGCACTTTCTCCACCTCCCAAAAATTGTATTTGGTCATGAAAATAATCGGCGATGCTTTCACTTGAACTAATTGGCCACACCTGTACCTAGCCAGACACCTGTCCACCACACTAAGTGTGACTTACGAACAATATTCAGAGGTAATCTAAGTGTTTTTACGCTGTAAACCCTCTTTATTTTGTCAGGGTTTGAGAGAGAGAGAGAGACATATATAAGAAAGCCACACTCAACCTGCATGCATCGACAGCTATATGGGCCTGGGTTCGAGCCCTGGACAGGGAAGGTCGACTGACCACCCAGCAGTAACCGTTTACCCCTGCTCCCCAGCAGTAACTGCTCCCCAGCAGTAACTGCTCCCCCAGCAGTGCACAAAGTGAGGAACAAGGTTCCGGGTGAAGGTAGAGAGCAATGCGATGGTCTGGGAGGTTGGGGCGCGCATCATAAACAAAAGCAGGGGAAACATAAGTGAGAAAGTTAGACAAATTGCTGGTAAACAGTGATACGATAACAATAGCAGCCGGGGTGAGCGTGAGGATGAAAAATGATGCGTGACATCTCTCCTTCCCTACAGCTCCTCCCTCCCTACAGCTCCCTCCCTCCTTCCCTCCCTATAGCTCCCTCCCTCCCTCCCTCCCTTCCTACAGCTAGCTGGGAACAAGAAGAATACATAGCGGACTGCAGAGTCACGGCATAAAATTGTAGCCATTCTGATCCACCATCTCTACGTAGTGGTTTGGTGAGGGACGCGAATACCTCAGATACTGTGAAGCAGGGAGGGAGGGAGTAGGGAGGGAGGTTACTTCCATGGTCTCCTGTTGAGGGAGAGGGAGAGGGAGAGCGAGAGGGAGAGCGAGAGGGAGAGCCGCAGTCACACCGTCATGCCTGGCTTGTCTTGTCATCTCATCCTCATGTCAACCACCATGAATGTTCAGCTGTCATTACTATGATTTTGTCTTCCCGTGTGTGTGTGTGTGTGTGTGTGTGTGTGTGTGTGTGTGTGTGTGTGTGTGTGTGTGTGTGTGTGTGCGTGTGTGTGTGTGTGTGTGTGTACTCACCTATTTGTACTCACCTATTTGTGCTTGCAGGATTGAGCATTGACTCTTGGATCCCGCCTTTCCAGCTATCGGTTGTTTACAGCAATGACTCCTGTCCCATTTCCCTATCATACCTAGTTTTAAAAGTATGAATAGTATTTGCTTCCACAACCTGTTCCCCAAGTGCATTCCATTTTTCCACTACTCTCACGCTAAAAGAAAACTTCCTAATATCTCTGTGACTCATCTGAGTTTCCAGTTTCCACCCATGTCCCCTCGTTCTGTTATTATTACGTGTGAACATTTCATCTATTTCCACTTTGTCAATTCCCCTGAGTATTTTATATGTCCCTATCATATCTCCTCTCTCCCTTCTTTTCTCTAGTGTCGTAAGGTTCAGTTCCTTCAGCCGCTCTTCATATCCCATCCCTCGTAACTCTGGGACAAGCCTCATCGCAAACCTCTGAACCTTCTCCAGTTTCTTTATGTGTTTCTTCAGGTGGGGGCTCCATGATGGCGCGGCATACTCTAAGACGGGTCTCACGTAGGCAGTGTAAAGCGCCCTAAAAGCCTCCTCATTTAGGTTTCTGAATGAAGTTCTAATTTTCGCCAGTGTAGAGTACGCTGCTGTCGTTATCCTATTTATATGTGCCTCAGGAGTTAGATTAGGTGTCACATCCACTCCCAGGTCTCTTTCTCGAATCGTTACAGGTAGGCTGTTCCCCTTCATTGTGTACTGTCCCTTTGGTCTCCTGTCACCTGATCCCATTTCCATAACTTGTGTGTTATGGAACACACATATTCCTGTGTGTGTGTGTGTGTGTGTGTGTGTGTGTGTGTGTGTGTGTGTGTGTGTGTGTGTGTGTGTGTGTGTGTGGGGACCTTCTGGTACTTTACTGTTGTTATACAAAGGAAACTTAAGAAACAAATTATCTTAATGAAGTTAATTATACGCGTCATTCTTCACGGGGACTGGTAGTGTGACCCAGTGTGTGTGTGTGTGTGTGTGTGTGTGTGTGTGTGTGTGTGTGTGTGTGTGTGTGTGTGTGTGTGTGTGTGTGTGTGTGCTCATTACGTTGCCCACGCCCCTGAGTGTTACCTTGTGTGTGTGTCACACCCTGGTGTGGTCACACTCCACACACTGTGTGTTGACTCCCATGTTACCTCTAATTATTATTTTTTTAATTTTGCCCCGAGGGGCGAGTTTACTGGGCAGCGCCACTCATCCTGTGAGTGGACACACCGCCATATATAGCAGCATGTACAACACCCCTTAATAGGAAGAAAACCCGCTGGGTTGTCCTACCGCTCTCTATCAACAAGTGTGATACCATCTCTATTTCTCCCTCCTCTCTCTCTCTGTCCAAGAAATTGCCTTCTAATTTCTTTCTTAACTCTCTTCCTTCCTTCTACATTCTTCCCTCCCCCCTCCCTCCCTCCCTCCCTCCCCATCTGTCTGGACACTCACCTGAGGGCTGGGGGCTCCATGACGCGGGTCTGGAGGCACGCACAGTGCTGGGCCCAGCAAACACCCCCAGGGCGCTCTTGCTTCACTGTGTTGTGGTGCTCTGGGGTCCCTCTCACCTTGCTGGGACCTCCTTCCTTCCTTCCCTCACCGTGAGAGACCGTGAGGCAAGCTGAGGAGGAGGAGGGGAGAGATACGGTATTTGTCTCTCTAAAAGCGGTCACTGAACTGTTTTAATATATATTTTTATTCATTGCTTGCCGTTTTTTTTCAGTGAGGCAGAACTTAAAATCGACACAAAACATCAAAGTGGTTTTCTTTTCAAGTTCGAGTTTGAAGGAATATAACATGACAACCACTTGACTACTGGGAGGAGCAGTTTACTGGTTTACTCCCACATTCACACTTGCTGGAGACACGGTCCTGACACTTCCTCAAGCCCGCTGGCCTGTGTCTCTACACTGACTCAGCCGTGGCCAGCACGTCTTGTGAGAAAGAGACACTCACTCGTCTTGGGAATTAACCCTGAATGATCCAGTGTGACCCCGGCTATGAACCCATTAGCGGAGACATCCTTTTACCCCGATGATTCCTTGAACTTTGACCCCCAGCGCCTTGCCCTGAGGGGGAGGAAGGGGGAGGTAGGGAGGGGGGTAGAGGTGTGTGTGTGCACGCTAATTTTTGTGAACATTTCCACAGACGCCAGCAGCCACAGACGCCAGCAGCCACAGACGCCAGCAGCCACAGACGCCAGCACAGGAGAGCGAGATTATCTCAGCTTATAAACGCATGCGTCCTGTCACCGGCGCCCACCCATACAAGATGACTACGGCCGTAATAACACAAGCATATGCACGCGCACGCGTACACACACACACACACACACACACACACACACACACACACACACACACACACACACACACACACACAGCGTTATATGACAAAGAGTGCTGGGAAGACGGGTCACCACGAGCGTAGCTCTCATTCTGTAACTACACTTAGGTAATTACACTTGGGTAATTAGGTAATTACACACACACACACACACACACACACACACACACACACACACACACACACACACACACACACACACACACACAGAAACTTGTGTAAGGAATCTTTCAGAACATTATATACCACATATGTCGGACCAATCCTGGAGTATGTGGCTCCAGCATGGAGTCCACATCTAGTCAAGCATAAGACTAAACTGGAAAAGGTTCAAAGGTTTTCCACCAGACTAGTACCTGAACTGAGGGGGTATGAGCTACGAGGAGAGACTACGGGAATTAAACCTCACGTCACTGGGAGACAGAAGAGTTAGGGGGACATGATCACCACATATAAGATTCTCGAAGGAATTGATAGGGTAGATAAAGACAGACTTTTTAACACAAGGGACACACGCACTAGGGGGACACAGGTGGAAACTGAGTGCGCAGATGAGCCATAGAGACGTTAGAAAGAACTTTTTTTAGTGTCAGAGTGGTTGACAAATGGAATGCATTAGGCAGTGATGTGGTGGAGGCTGACTCCATACACAGTTTCAAGAGTAGATATGATAGAGCCCAATAGGCTCAGGAACCTGTACATTAATTGATTGATCGTTGGGAGGCGGGACCAAAGAGCCAGAGCTCAACCCCCGCAAGCACAACTAGGTAAGTACACACACACATATATAATTAAGGTGATCACAAAATGAAAATTACCAGAAAGATTCCAAATAATAAAATAGTTGAAACGTGCTGTCAAGACATCCTAGATGTTCGAGAAAACTGAAGATGATGTAAGTGGTTGTCCGTGACCTGCCAGAGACAGCAACAGAGGAAGGAAGGGAACTTGTGTTAGTGGCAGTAAGCAACATGGGCATGCAACAGCTGCCCCAGACAGCAGCAAGACGCTGCGAGGTGGGCTGTGATCTGACACAGAAAGCAACAGCAACAGCAACAGAATATGGAACCTGAGAAGTTCCATGGATGAATATAGATGTTCCGCAGGGGAGATTACCGGTTGTGTCGAACCTCAGCCATGCGAACGAGGAAGACATTGAGAATCTGGAGCATGAAATGCAACCAGGGGCCAGCGACCCCTGTGGCCTTCACCAGGGGCCAGCGACCCCTGTGGCCTTCACCAGGGGCCAGCGACCCCTGTGGCATTCACCAGGGGCCAGCGACCCCTGTGACATTCACCAGGGGCCAGCGACCCCTGTGGCCTTCACCAGGGGCCAGCGACCCCTGTGGCCTTCACCAGGGGCCAGCGACCCCTATGGCATTCACCAGGGGCCAGCGACCCCTGTGGCCTTCACCAGGGGCCAGCGACCCCTGTGGCGGGGCCAGCGACCATTGTGGCCTTCACCAGGGGCCAGCGACCATTGGGACCTCCACCAGGGGCCAGCGACCATTGGGACCTCCACCAGGGGCCTTCACCAGGGGCCAGCGACCATTGGGACCTCCACCAGGGGCCAGCGACCATTGTGGCCTTCACCAGGGGCCAGCGACCATTGGGACCTTCACCAGGGGCCAGCGACCATTGGGACCTTCACCAGGGGCCAGCGACCATTGGGACCTTCACCAGGGGCCAGCGACCATTGGGACCTTCACCAGGGGCCAGCGACCATTGGGACCTTCACCAGGGGCCAGCGACCATTGGGACACCAGGGGCCGGCGACCATTGTGGCCTTCACCAAGGGCCAGCGACCATTGGGACCTTCACCAGGGGCCAGCGACCATTGTGACCTTCACCAGGGGCGACCATTGGGGACCTTCACCAGGGGCCAGCGACCATTCCTTCACCAGGGGCCAGCGACCATTGTGACCTTCACCAGGGCCAGCGACCATTGTGACCTTCACCAGGGGCCAGCGACCATTGTGAACTTCACCAGGGGCCAGCGACCATTGGGACCTTCACCAGGGGCCAGCGACCCCTGTGGCCTTCACCAGGGGCCAGCGACCATTGGGACCTTCACCAGGGGCCAGCGACCCCTGTGGCCTTCACCAGGGGCCAGCGACCCCTGTGGCCTTCACCAGGGGCCAGCGACCCCTGTGACCTGTGGCCACCAGGGGCCAGCGACCTCCATTGTGACCTTCACCAGGGGCCAGCGACCCCTGTGGCCTTCACCAGGGGCCAGCGACCCCTGTGGCCTTCACCAGGGGCCAGCGACCCCTGTGGCCTTCACCAGGGGCCAGCGACCCCTGTGGCCTTCACCAGGGGCCAGCGACCCCTGTGACCTCCACCAGGGGCCAGCGACCATTGTGACCTCCACCAGGTGCCAGCGACCATTGTGACCTTCACCAGGGGCCAGCGACCATTGTGACCTTCACCAGGGGCCAGCGACCATTGGGACCTTCACCAGGGGCCAGCGACCATTGTGACCTTCACCAGGGGCCAGCGACCATTGTGACCTTCACCAGGGCCAGCGACCATTGTGACCTTCACCAGGGGCCAGCGACCATTGTGACCTTCACCAGGGGCCAGCGACCATTGGGACCTTCACCAGGGGCCAGCGACCATTGTGACCTTCACCAGGGGCCAGCGACCATTGGGACCTTCACCAGGGGCCAGCGACCATTGTGACCTTCACCAGGGGCCAGCGACCATTGGGACCTTTACGAGGTAGCACAATAAATGAGCAGATCAAATGGAAAACACGAAGTCTGAAAAGAAATATCAACAACTAGAGAAACTTGGCCAAGGGGAAAATAGTCTCCCATGAATCTACAGACAAGTCAAGAGGATTGAGCAAAATACAGAAAACGGAGAACAGAATAAATCTGTAACATACAATAAGAGAGAAAATAGGTTCCAATGTGTCCAAATAAATCCAATGGCTCCATGACTATATTTGAAGCCAGTTGAACGATCGAGTGGGCAAGGTAGGCGAAAAGAAAGAGGGGGCAACAAATAGAAACTGAAATGGAAATATGTGAGTCAGTGTAATTTTCCAGGAGGTACTGAGGGCTGAGCCCCTGGTTGGGGGGGGGAGATTGTCGACTGCTGAGTTAACATCAGAGTATCTACATCAGAACATCTACATCACAATATCTACACCACATCATCATCTTAGACGACACCCTCCAAGGACTGTGGGGCCACACAACATACTTCTACAGACACTGAAAGAAGAACGAGTCATCTGGGTGCATCTGGTGATCTTGTATGCCTCAAGTACGAGGTGGTGCACCTGGTGATCTTGTATGCCACAAGTACGAGATGGAGAGTTGCCTGACGGCTGGAAGACGGCAAATGTCAGACCAATATACAGAAGAGGGTACAGGCGGAAGACACTGAAGGCTCGTGTCACTGGCCTGTGCCCCAATAAGGTTCTTAAGATAATAAAGGGAAGTATTAAGTGTAATTTCGACTTCAGAATTAGGTTTGCCAACAAGTTTCAACCCGGAGTTAATGAAGATGATCGCGCCTGACGAAGCTACTAGAGATTATTACAATAACGCACGCCAGAGACGGTTGGGCAGGTCGTATCTTTTCAGACGCGCACAAACACACGCAGACACAGACGCACACACGCAGACACAGTGAAACACACTCATACGCACACATGGGCTGGAATACTAGAAACATTACAAACCTAACTTTTGGCGGGTAAGAATTTGACTAACGCTTTGGGGTAGGGAGGGGTTGAGGAGGGGGGGGGGGGGTTAACACATACACACACATGACCGGATATCCCTGTCCCCACACGACCCCGTACACGCCCCCCACACAGGTGATGACCCCCAGATCCCCCCACACACGTGATGACCCCCAGACCCCCCACACAGGTGATGACCCGCAGACCGCCCCCCCACACAGGTGATGACTGCCCACACCTGTCGGAGGTAAGGAAGGATCCCGGGGGCTGAGGGTGCGCGAGGCTCCAGCACAAGGTGGTGGTGGTGGTGATGTGTGGATGGAACCCCGCGAGTGTAACAGGCTCCAGGTGGCGTCTGGCACAACACTGGCGGAGGAACACCTCTCGCGCCCCCACCACCTCATGACGGGCGGGGGGCTCCTGGTGGTGGTGGGTGGCGGGGGGCTCCTGGTGGGGGAAAGGAGGGGGTGTGAGAAAGGGCTCCGCGGGTTACCAACTCTCGCCAGAAGCGCACTTTCTCTCAAATTAAGACGTCCTCGAGCACATTGATGGGAAAGCCACGAGGGTCTGTCATTGAGCAGAGGGGAAAGGTGAGGGGTGGAGAGGGAGGGAGGGAGGAAGGAAGGGGGTAGGGGATTGGGGTAGGGGAGGAAGAGGGGAAAGGTGGAGGGGGGGTGTTAGCGACAACTTGCTCGGGTGTGTGTTGAGCTGTCGTGAGGGAAGTGTGGTGACCCCGCGTTGGCGACCTTCGTCAATGGGCAGATAAATGGCTGCTGGAATTCAGTCCAAAAATGTGTAAGGTAATGAAGATGAGTAAGGGAGATAGGAGAGCTGTAGGTAACTACCCCATAAGGAGAAGGCAGAAGCTGGAACATAGAAGGAAGGTGTTGACCAGACCACACTAGAAGGTGAAGGGACGACGACGTTTCGGTCCGTCCTGGACCATTCCCAAGTCATTCTCATTCTCCATCGACTTGAGAATGGACGAACCGAAACGTCGTCGTCCCTTCACCTTCTAGTGTGTGGTCTGGTCAACATACTTCAGCCACGTTATTGTGACTCCTCGCCTGTATAGAAGGAAGGTGGATACCCAGTGGTGTTGAAGGGGGAGGGGGAGGTGGGGAAGGTGAGGGGGGGGGTGACAACCCCACAGGGTAGTCGCCAGCTGGAATGAAATTAAAGAAATGGTGGAGGCCACTTCCAGCCTCTCCCCCAGGGGGCATTCTCACACACAGCTTGAACGACAAGAGGTAATCATTGCTCCCCCGGGGGTATACACCTGGTGACCTGCGGGGAACACACCTGGTGACTACCGGGGTACACACCTGGTGGCCCCCCCGGGGTACAGACCTGGTGACCCCCCGGGGTACACACCTGGTGACCCCCCGGGGTACACACCTGGTGACCTCTCCCCGGGGTACACACCTGGTAACCCTCAAGAGTTTACACGTGTGAGGGGCGTCTGTGAGAGTAACTTTGAGTGCATGTCCAGTATGAGGGCCTCTGAGTGTAGCTGTGAGTGCATGCTGAGTGTGAGGGTCCAAAGCTATACAGCTGAGTATATCCGCGGCTCTTCAGCAGACCGGAGTCCTCGAAGACCACCTTCGTGAGCCGAAGGGCTTGAGCTGCGAGCAGCGCTGAGAACAGCAGGACAGGCGGGGGGGGGGGGGGGGGGACACGTAGATGGAAACTAGACAGGAATGTGTCGCAGACGCTTAGACGGGGGCTACTTCAGCGTCAGGACCGTCAACAAGCGGGACAGGTTAGACGGTGAAGTTTTTGTTGTCAACTCAGTTACAACTGTATACGGTAACATGTTTAGAAAATCATTGCAACTGATTCATTGTATTAAACTTAGACACACACACACACACACACACACACACACACACACACACACACACACACACACACACACACACACACACACACACACACACACACACACCATGTCGTGGCACAGTCGATTAAGGCAGCGTCTGCGATCCTCTCGGACGTAGTTTCGAACCCTCATCACGGCCCTTGTGGATTTGTTCATTCACGAAAGGTTGCATTCGTAACGTTGGTTACCATACAGTACAAAATACGGCCTATTAGCTGAGAGGACGGAGGGGGGGGGGGGAAGGACGCGGCCCCGTCTCCCTTTAGTCTTAAACAGCTTAACGCTTCGAATCGACGCTATGAAGCTAGGGGAAAAAAAATACTGAGACCTGGAACTTCAAGAACAAGAGGTCATAGATTTAAACTAGCTAAACACAGATGCCGAAGAAATAAAAGAAAATTCCCTTTCGCAAACAGTGGTAGACGGTTGGAACAAGTTAGGTGAGAAGGTGGTGGAGGCCAAGACCGTCAAACAGAAAGATATGAAAGAGTGCTGGGAAGACGGGACACCACGAGCATAGCTCTCATCCTGTAACTCCACTTAGGCAATTACACTTAGGTAATTACACGGACCCCTGACCCCACAGTTTGTGAGGAGAGACAAAGGGACCGTTCCACATAAGTTCCTCCTTCACTTTCCGGACTGTCGGGCATGTTGCGGGCGGCTTGTATCGTGCGTCTGTCTCTTGTCTCTGTCTTGTCTGTCTCTCGTCTGTCTTGACTGTCTCTCGTCTCTGTCTCGTCTCACTGTGTGTGTTTGTATATATCCTCGGCGCCACCTTAACCCCCCAGAGGAACATCAATGCCGACATAAAGAACTCTGTGAATCACAGGAGCCCGAGGAAGCAGTATTATAAACCCGAGGGGGTCCACCTGAGGACGGAAAAAGCTCTTATAAGAGTGTGTAGAGCCCTACAGAGTTCCGCCGGGGCCTCATCCCTCACACACCCCCTGAGAGAGAGAGAGAGAGACGAGCTCCCTGACATGAGTACTTAGTCGCATGGGTGTAAATGATAAGTGCGGGAGGTGCTACCGAGGCGTCTCCCCCTCCCCCTCCTCCTCCGTTAAGGTAGCGTGGCGGGCTCCAGGAGCGGCGCTACGGGCCAGCAAGTAACAGCTACCCGCCGCGCGTCCCGCATCAGGGCGCATGCACCAGAGGAACCACCGCGCCGCGCCATTTTTTTTGTAATTTTTTGTTGCATTCCTTCTTGCGCTTCCAGCAAGCAAGACCGGGTGCTGTGAGGGTGCTGTGGGGGTGCTATGGGGGGGTTGTGGGTGTGTTGTGGGGGTGTTGTGGGGGGTGCTGTGAGGTGCTGTTATAACCCGTCATTTTAACTAATAGGGTCGCTTTTTACACGTTATTGTCACGCACGTTATAAGTGTAACCAATTAAGAAAAGTAACGACACACAAATATGTACGTTTCCAGTGCACCGGACTCGATGGGTTAGGTGGGTTGCTTGGGGTGGGCACGTTTCTGCCTGCGCTCAAAAGGTTGAGTTTTGTTGTTAAAAAGTTGAAGACATAAATGAATTATTTAACCTTACAAAGTTCTATAGAGTAAATAGAGATAAATGGAAAATGAACTTAATAATAGTAATAAAAATAATAGTAACAATAATAAGGGGAGCCGGTCGGCCGAACGGACAGCACACTGGACTTGTGATCCTGTGGTCATGGGTTCGATCCCAGGCGCCGGCGAGAAACAATGGGTAGAGTTTCTTTCACCCTATGCCCCTGTTACCTAGCAGTAAAATAGGTACCTGGGTGTTAGTCAGCTGTCACGGGCTGCTTCCTGGGGGTGAAGGCCTGGTCGAGGACCGGGCCGCGGGGACACTAAAGCCCCGATATCATCTCAAGATAACCTCAAGAAGAAGATGATAGTGATTAATAAACACACCTTAGCTAAAATATTCAATAAAACATTCGAAACAGGAAACCTCCCACAATTCTGGAAAAAAAGAGGACAGACAGGAGGAACTTGATTATAGACCTACCTTGAGGTTACCTTGAGGTGCTTCCGGGGCTTAGCGTTCCCGCGGCCCGGTCGTCGACCAGGCCTCCTGGTTGCTGGACTGATCAACCAGGCTGTTGGACGCGGCTGCTCGCAGCCTGACGTATGAGTCACAGCCTGGTTGATCAGGTATCCTTTGGAGGTTGTCACTGACAAGTGTTTCGTGTAAAGTGCGGGAGAAGTTAGCAGGATAAGATTGGTTGAATACCTGCAGAGGACCTACTGTTGTGACGAAAGGGCATTTAGATTTAGAGATTTAGAACGTGGATTTAGAGAATCCACGTTCTCTATGATTGATTGAGTTCTATGACAAAATTACTACAATAAATAGAGAAAAAGATGGCTGGGTAGATAGATTTTTCAAGTGTCAAAAAGCATTTGACACTGTTCATGACGCGATCTGTCCTACAAAGAACGTCGCTTTTCGCCGGTATGCGTTACATAAAGCCAACAATTGTCGTACTAGAAAATGGAAGCGGCTCGCGAAAGTGACGTGTTGGCCCGTTTTCTGTTTTGGGTCCTCTGGTAGGATAGCAGAGACCACTTTAAACTGACCATTTACTTGACGTTGGGAAATGGTTGATTATAAGCTGTTACGTCACTCTTACCCTCTTCCGCCCCTCCCTCCCTCCCTCCCTCCCTCCCCCTCCCTGGTGAGGTAACCCTCCCTTTGCCCCTCCCTCCATAGGGAGGTATCCCTCCCGGGGAGTGGAGCGAGTTTCTGGTAGGTTTCTCACGTCGGAGGTGAGACCGCTAACTCTCTGAATGACACCTGCTGTCTTGGCCGGGGTCTGGGAGGGTGGGGGCCCCCCTCCTGGGCTTTGTGAGGTTGGGGGCCCCCTCCTAGGGTTTAAAAGGTTGGAGCTTTTTCTCCTAGGGTTTGGGTAGGTGGGGGCCCCACTTCTAGGGTTTGGAAAGGTTGGGGCTTTTCTCCTAGGGTTTGGGAGAGAGGGGGGCCCACTTCTATGGATTAGGAGGGGTCGGGAAGGGTTTCAGTCCGTCCTCGCCTCAACCTCACTACACTTGACATTATCATGTACACTTGACATTACACTACACTTGACATTATCATGTATTATCATTATCATGTATCATGTACCTTCTTGTATATATATAAATAAATAAATAAATAAATAAATCATAATCTCTTATAGGAAGCCCTAAACAAGGCACGGTTTATCTTGGAAGGACCTGAACAAGGTACAGAAGGACCTGAACAAGGTACAGAAGGACCTGAACAAGGTACAGAAGGACCTGAACAAGGTACAGAAGGACCTGAACAAGGTACAGAAGGACCTGAACAAGGTATTTGAATACACTATCAATGTATACACTGAGATAAATACGTTACTTCACTCTGTATAGAGAGTGCACTTTAGTCTTGGACAGTGTTCAGATTTAATTATACTTATAGGGGAGTCAAAGAGGTGTTGAGGTGACTCTAATAACTTATA